CTGTCAGGGATGAAGCTGCAGTAGGGCGAGAAACCTTCAAACTCAAAGGCGCCGCCCCTGCCCCCAAGATGTCCGATCGAAGGGCATGCCGCCACGCTGCCGTCCACGTTAAGCTCAAGGTCAACACCTACGAACTTGAGGCTATCATCTCGTTCGAGCACGCCCCGGGTCGCGTGCGCAATCGGCGGGCCCCGCCCCGGGAGCACGCCCCGGGTCGCGTGCGCAACCGGGGGCTCCGCCGAACCCCGGGAACCTCTCCAGAGCACGTAGCGCCAGTCCTGGCTCGGCACCTGCGGGGGCATGAGCGGGCAGCGTGATTGCCAACAAAAAAGCGCCCCGTGGGGAAGCGTGAAAATGGCGCGCCAGCCACTCCGTAAACGGACGGTGCGACCTATTTTCTCCGAAATGCGCACGCCAACGAAACGTGCAATTGCCCCAGACGCGGGTAAAACGGGGGGCAGGAAAGGGAGGGAGGGAAGGAGGGAGGGAGGGGGGGAGGGGGGAACGCCACTGCCGAGCGCTGAAATCCGCGCCGTGCTTGGAAACAATGGCACGAGCCGTCGCGGGGAGACCGTCGCGTCCAGTGCGCGGCGCGCGGCCCCGGAGCGCTACGGCAGGTTTGCCAAAAAGTCCACGGCCTGAGACGCCAACCCCTGGGGGGGCCGCAAGCCCGCGGGGAGGCCGGGAACCGCCGACGACAACGACGACGACGACGACGACGACGACGACGACGACGACGACGAGACGACCGACGACCGACGACGACACGACGACGACGACGACGACGACGACGACGACAACAACGACGCCAACGACAGGGGAGGAGGGGAGAGGAAGGGAGAGGAGGGCAAGAGGAGAAGGGGGAAGGGGGGAGGAGAGGGAAAGGAGCGGTCCCCTGCCCCCCAAGGGCTTGAGGCCCCCAGGGGGGACGCGGGTGGCGCGCGGCTGACGTCGCTGCATAACCAGGCGGGCGGCCAGCATTCAAGGAGGAAAGGGAGGAGCTGAGGAGAGACGGAGAGGCGGGGATAGGAAGACGTGCTTGCAAAACTGCAAATCAACCCCACTAACCTAGGGCTCGCTGGGAGGCAGGGTGCCCCCTAACGAGCTCGCGAACGCACTGGGGCAACGCCTCGCGCGCTGCTGGTCCAGCACCAACGCCGCCGTGCCGGGAAAGACGATGCACTTTGTACACAGCTGCGGTGCGCAACGCCTTGCGAACGAGAAGCCCTGGCTCAGCCGTCACGCGGCGGAGCGGCATGTCCAACAGCAAGAAGCAACTCGTGCAATCTCGGCGGGACCCCGGGCGGCGGAGCCCCAGCGAGGTCTGCGCAAACCGCCGCGCGGTTGGGCACGCCGCGTAGTGCTCGATGGAATCTGGGGCAGCGGAACCGCGGAATATGCATAGGTCCAGATGATGGCATCGACCTTGCATGCGTCGATATGAAGCCCACCCATTCCACAAAGAGCACCAGACAGCCGCCCATGTGCGAGGAGTGACCCGCGCTCCGAGCTCGCTGAGGGCCGCGAGGCAGCGCTCCGCCCGGCAGCGGGGGAATTGAGAGACGTCCCACACTATGAGTTTGTGACGAGTGCGCCACTCCATTCGGGACTAGACACCCCTGGGCAAGGTGGCGAGGGCGGCCCGCTGAAAACCACGTCGCGCTGCGGCTGCCGTGCTGCTGCAAAAGGGGCGGAGCTCGCCGCGCGCCAGCTCGCCTTCCGAGGCTTCGGGGCGAATCCCACTGGCCGCGAAGTGCGCCGCCGCGGCCTCGAGATGAAAGACGAACGATCGCTGAAACCACGACGGCCAACGCGCAATGCGATCCAAGTGCTCCGTATCCCGCATGCACAAGCGCAGCTCACGCGACCGCTCGGCCACGCGAAGGCCGTCGGGCTGGCCTTCCTGGTGCGCCACCCGGAAGCGGCAGGCCAGCGAGAGCCTCGCAGCGTCGGGGAAGTCCTTCGTGAAGCCGAACCCCCGCAAATCGTGTAGATCTGCAGGAGTGCACCAGAATCCAGGGCCAGGGACGAGAGCTCGGAGAGCCGCAGCTTCGGTTTGCCCCCACGCAGGCGGCAAGTTGCCCAGTTGCAACAAGAACGCAATAACCGGGATAATGTACACGCTGTACGCCAACGCGGTAAGGAGTAGTCCGCCTCCCGCGGCACCCCAATCCCGAGAGCGTTCGAGGACCTTCTTGAGCGGCTTCGTGAAGGCGAGATCGCCGCGTTCTGGGCCGAGTACAAATCCCAAGTGCTTCGCATGCAGCTCCACCTTGATGCCTGCCCACGCCGCGAAGCGCTCGGATACAAATCTGGCCAGAAGAGTTGTGCTTGAGGTGAGAACGGCACGATCACCGTCTTCGGCAAGTTTAGCCGAAGGCCAGATATGCGTGAGAACTCCTCGGAGACCCCGACCAGCGTCGGAAACGCCGCAATGCCCGAGGGGAGCACAACGGCAACGTCGCCCGCGCAGGCGCGCACAATCGCCCCCGGCACGAGGCGCTGTATTCGACGAAGCAAGACATCAACAGCAGCTGCGAAAAGAAGGAGCGAAAGAGGGCAACCTTGTCGTATACCTGCCAAAAGCTCGAAGCCGTCGTGCTCCCTGCCGCCCACTACCAGCGTGCACTTGTTGTGCGCGTACAGCGCTGCCTCGAAGTTGAGGACCCACTGAGGCAGGCCAACGGCAGCGAGGGCCTCTCGCAGAAATGCATGGGCTACGCTGGGAAACGCAGCCTTGAAGTCGAAGGAGACTGCCAGGCCAGCGTCGTCGCGAAGAGCCGTCTGCATCACGGCGAGGTCAACATCAACAACGTTCGCAAGCATCGAGCGGCCGCCGACGAACCCGCGCTGGCAGCTGCAGATCCACGAGGCCAGCGGAGGCTCGATTCTGAGCCGGATGGCGTTGGCGAGGAGTCACTGTCTACGATGTTCAAAGGGCGGGTGTCCAGGGTCGTAGTATTCTCCAACGTCTGCATCTGTCCCAGTAGGCGCCTTGGGCAGAAACACCATCAAGCTGCTGTTGAAACCGGTGGACACGTCGGATCCACGGAGGAAGTCGCCCAGAGCTGGAGAGCCAGGGTCCGTCGCCACGCGTTGAAGAACCTTGAACAAAATGTCCACGGCCACTGGGCCCAACAGTCTCCAGGACAATAAGGGAATTCCATCCGGCCCAGGCGCGGAGTCTGGAGATGAATCCAGAGCTGCTTGCACATCGCCCTGGCGGGGCTGCCGCGCCTGATCTCCTGGCGGGGGGAGACCGTCGGAAGTTGCGTCTTCCTGTAGCCACCGCCTCAGCGCCTGGCGATCCACCCGGCACGACGCAAACGTAGCCGACCAGTGACTACGAAGAGCATCCGCCATCGCCTCTGGGTCCGTGACGACCTCGCCGCGGGCGTTCCGCACAGCAGGCAACGACGTCGGCCTGCCCGGGGAGAGTCCACGAAGCATCTGGAACAATCGATCTCGTCTGTGGCCCCGCGTGGGGTCCGCAGCAGCAGCCCCGGACAGCTCCGCAAGTTGCCCGACGGCGGCTTCGCGCGCCAGGCCCACGGCGCGCTGGCGGAACGGACCGAGACCGGCGCCCCGGAGACGCAGCAGAGCCATTGGGTCAGCAACCAAGGTCTGCAAATGCGGGTACAGCCGCAGACATCGACGCATCTGGCCTGCGCGGCCATCTTCAACCGCCCGTGCAAACCGCACCGCGAGCCCAACTTTGTCGTCAACCTCTGGCGGGGCCACGCCGGCCCGATCCCTCCCGGCAGCCATGCGGTCCGACACTGTCCGAATAGCCTGCTTCAACAACTGCAAGCAGCGCAAGGGGCACGACGGTTCGGCATCCTGCCCGACGAGCTCGTGGAACTCCTCCGCCACCCGGCCAGGCCACGCAGGACCACGAAGCAGGTGAGCAGGCACTGGACGAGGCTCGTCTCGTTCACGGGCAGGGCGAAGACGTCCAACAGTTCGCTGTTGGTCGAGCTCACTTCGCCGGCCACTCTCCACGCTGTTTGGCATCTCTGCGAGGAGGCCGTCAACACCAAGGCCAAGATGGTGACAATCCGCACCGCCGTCGACACAGAGCAATGGCGGGAAGTGATGAACCAGACGATCACGGACGACGCCGCCAGCGCCATCTTGAGGGTCCGTTATCGCCCTTCTCGGCGGGGCGGCCGGCTGTGGGCTTCGCCCTCCGCTACTCCTCAGCAGCTCGCGGCCCTCTGCCGCAAAGGCGCCGGGTCGAGCCAGCAGCCCAGTGGGCATACGGTCTCAACGTTGACAGTCAATGGCTTCCTTGGGCACGATCCAGCTCGTATCATCAGGGGTCTCATGGCGGTGATTCGGGACCGCTCGGGCGTGAACTTGAGGGGGCAGAGCGCGGGGGGCGAGCTGATCAACAGCTGGCGACGGGTGGCGGACGTCGACCCCTCTGCGCACCCAGGCCAGGTTCGATTGTAGATCGCTTCATTAAACGACGCCCAGGCGGTCCTTGATGATGTCAACGGTCGCGCCGTGCAGCTGGGTACGGATCTGGTCAGCGTCAGCATCACCAACGACGAAATCGAGACGCAGCAAGGAAACGTCCATCGGGGGCGGGGTCGCCGGGGCCCTGTCCCCGGGGAGCGACGCCCGGCTTGAGCCCAACGGAGACGCTAATTGAGGTCTACACCATGGCCGGCTCCCGGTTCTGGATGTTGGATCTCGTTTTGCATGCTCGTCGCATTGACCATGGCGACGTTCCTCTTTGCATTCGTCCTCTTTCTCCTCATTTGCTACGTGCTCGTGCTGCTCATCTCCACGCCTGTGCCGATGCAGGCGCTGACACGCATGGTGGACTCGAGGCCGACGTGTCCTCGGCGACGCGGCTGCCCTCAGTGCCTCCTGCGCGTCCTGCGCCACGCCTGCGTGGTCGACGAGTACCCCGCCCCCCGCCGCTGCCGCCAGGACAGGCGAGGCTACCTGGCAGCGGGGGTCTTCCCAGCGGCGACGCACGCCCCGCCGAGCATGGGCTGGTGATGGCCCCCTTCCGCGGAGAGCTCCAGGGCGCTGCCTGGAATACCCAGGCCCTCTTCGCTCGGAAGCGGTCCCGCCACATGGCCAAGGACCACTACGTACGACGGCTTTTCCGCGATCGGGACTTTGTGCTGCTGTCCGAGACCCATGGCCTGGAGCGCGAGGGATTGGCGTGGGGTTGCCCAGGAGACAGCCGGGCATGGTTCTCCCCGGGCACTTCGCGCAGAGCCGGAATCGGCATCGTGGTCAAGTCAAGTTTCCTCCAGCAGTTCGACTCGGAGCTGACGTCGTGGGAGGAGCTGGTCCCCGGGAGGGCTGGCGTACTTCATCTGGCAGGCCCGCGAAGCGCGTTGGATTTGTACTCCGTGTACTTCACTGCCGGGTCGCACGCCTCAGGCGTCGTGCAGCCCCGCGGCACCACCGCCCAGGACGTCTCCGAAGCGCAGGCTCGCCAGCAGCGGGAGGCCATGCGACGTCGCCCGGCGGCGGCCATGTCCCCATCGGGTTCGGTGCTGCCGATCGTCGCGGAGGACTTCAATTGGGTGGCTGACGCGCGGGACCGTTACGCCAAGACGACCGCCGAGTACACTGGACACAGGGATGCTGGCCACGAGCGGCACTTCCATTCGGTCTTGTCTCAGCCCTATGGGTTGTTCGAGCTCCGGCAGCCGGCGATGACGCAGGAGAACGCCAGCTCCAGGTCCAGACTCGACCGCATCTATTGGAATCAGCCCTTGGCTGAGCAGCTGGATCGTCGCATCTGCTGCGCTTCCAAGATAGCTCAAGATAGCCCAAGATGCCTCCAGATGGCTCCCAAGATGCTCCAAGAGGCTCCAAGAACGCTCCAAGACGGCTCCAGGTGGCCATGGAGCCTCTCCAGGATGCCGCCAAGAGGCCATGAACCTGGCGCGAACCCAATTCGGGAAAAGTTTCCTACTGCATGGGCGCAGTACTTGGCATTGCTTGGCATTCTTCGCATTGATTGGCATTGCGGGCAAGGCAAAATTAAGAGGCACCAACCTTTAAGCAAGTAAGAGCTCCTTCGGCAAGACAAATTGGGGAAATAGGAAGCACCAGGGGCGGGGAACCCGAGGAACCCGAGGAACCTCCGAGCAATGGGCAAAATAACAATAGGAGGCACCAACCTTTAACCATAGAGCCAAGTAAGAACCCCTTAGGCAAGCCTGTCTTTAACCAGAACAACCTTCCAAAACCTAAGGGAAATCAATGTGTTTTGCTGTCTCGCCTTGTCGCTTCCGATGGCCTTCCGAGGCCTCAGGATGTCTCCAAGATGGCCCAAGAGGGCTCCAAGAGGGACCCAACCTCCAAGACGGCCCCCAAAGCGCCCAAGAGCGCTCCAAGGGCGCCCCAAGAGTCGATCTTAGGCACTCTCGAGGAACAGTGCTAATTGAGACCCGCCCCTTCTTTAGTCGATGTCTTCCAAGATGGCTCCAAGAGCGCCCCTAAAGCTCCCAAGAACGTCCAACGAGGGCCTCAAGAGGGCCCAGACGGCCCCAAGATGCGCCCAAGGGGCATCCAAGAGGCTCCCAAGAGATCCCCAAGAGGCCTTAAGAGGACCCCCGAGGCACCCGAGACGCTCAAAGACTGCCTTCGGCATCGGAGCATATGTCAAATCCGCCGACCCCTTGGGGATCATCGGCGTGTGAGATGCTTCCCCCTCCCCAAACCCCTCCCCCGGGAGCCCGGTCCGGTCGATTTGGAGGGGGGGGGGGGGTCCGGCGCGAGCGGGGGGGGTCCGGGACGAGCGACTCACGGGGCTTTTCCGGGCCCAAGAGGGCCTCAAGACGGGCCAAGAAGCCCCCAAGAGGCCTCCAAGACGGCCCACGAAGGCTCCGAGACGCCAAACGACCGGTCCAAGACGCCCACGATGGCCCCAAGACGGGCCAAGAGGTCTCCAAGACGGCCTCCGAGGTCCCAAACAAGCCTCCCAAGAGGGCCCAAAGAGTCTAAAATTGTTGATTTTCCCGAGTGTTTTTCTACGTTTCTTGCTTTCCCGCCTTTCCGGCTTCCCGACGCTCCAAGACGGCCAAAGAGGCCCCAAAGATAGCCCCAAGATGGCCCAAGAGGCCCCCAAGACGGCCTCCAGACGGCCCAAGACGGCCCCAAGACGGCCCAAGAGGTCCCCAAGACGGCCCAAGAGGGCCGATTTGGAGGGGGGGAGGGGGCCGGGACGAGCGCAGCACGGCCGGGACGAGCGGTTCCAGGGCTTTTCCGGGCCCAAGAGGGCCTCAAGACGGGCCAAGAAGCCCCCAAGAGGCCTCCAAGACGGCCCACGAAGGCTCCGAGACGCCAAACGACCGGGCCAAGACGCCCACGATGGCCCCAAGACGGGCCCCAAGGAGGACGAGTGACGCTCGCAGCGTCACTCGTCCTCCTCCTCCTCCTCCTCCTCCTCATCCTCCTCCCACTCCTCCGAATACCCCAGCCTGCCCAATAACGGATCAGCCCCAGTTTCGAAATCCACAACTTACGTCCAGCATCCGCCGACCCCGCAGAAATCGAGGTGCCGTGGCGCTTCCATCTAGTGAACATGCCTCCAATTTGGCACACCCCGCACGCGGCAACTTGAATGAAAGGCCCCAAAACCCGAGTATACGCGCGGTTCCCCGCGAACATTGGGCACGTCCCTCATAGATTTCGTGGCTCCACGGCGCGCTCCAACCATAGCCCCAGTACCCGCGGTCCCGTAAACTTCCAACCCCAAGCGCACACACACGTCGATCGTGTCGTGGCTCCAGAATACGTCCACCGTGGGGCCCAGTGGGAAGATTCGCATGCAAGTATACCCCATGCCGGCACACCCTTTGCACGCGCCGTGGCCTCGCACATGGCCAAGTTGACCCATAATGACTCCTGGACAGTCCCCCAAAAAAACTCCCGACCGCTACCGAAACGGCTCGAAGACATTCCCGAGCCCAACCTGGCTCCATTATGCCTCTCAGATGGCCCCAGATGAGACCACGACCGCCCGCGGTGTCGCCGTCCGCTCGGACACCCCCGCGGAACTGCCCGAGCCCCTCTGGCAGTGGCGGCGAACAGACACCAAACAAATATCACTCGCCTTTTCACCCCTTCGCAGCTTCTACTGCCCCCCGATTGGCATAAACAAGGGGTCGGCGGTGTGGCGTAAGCCTAAGAATCATTCAACATCTGTTCCCGCCGCTTCTGCGGCCCGCGCACGCTTCCTAGGCCGCCCTACTACTGCGTGCTGCTACACTTCCCTCACTCGGGAAACTCGCCTGAGAATCGTTTCTGGATGGGCTGCTGCGGATACTTGTTGGTTAGCAGCCGCAGGCGAGAGCGCCAGCGGCGAGTAAGGTCCAAGCGGACCGCGCGGGGGCCTAAAACCCTGCTGCAGATACGCGGAGCGTCAAGAATTATTACCAATTCTCATCATGTTCCTCCACCTCCTTCTCACCACCTCCAAATCCTCCTGACAATCATCCGTCATCCTCATCATCATGCTCCTGATCATCCTCCTTACCGGTCCTCCTCTCTCATCCTCCTCGTACCTACTCCTTCCGTCTTCCTCCTCGTCCCCCGCCGCCGCCTCCTCCTTCTTCTTCTCGATCCCTGCTGCTGCTCCTCCGCCTCCTCCTCCTCCGCCTCCTCCTCATTCCTCCTCCTCCTCCTCATTCCTCCTCCTCCTCCTCCTCCTCCTCCTCCTCCTCCGCCTCCTCCTCCTCCTCCTCCTCCTCCTCGCGCCCCCTTCTCCTCCAAACCAAATTCATCACGAAGCACCCACTAATTACTACAGCGACGACGGCAGCAAGGGCTGCGACTACTGCAAAGTCCGGGCCGTGACGACCGGCGAGTTGGCTTCCGACACCACGCGGACCGCTCAACCGCGAGCTAAAACAGGGCTAGGATCGGGATAAATCGCTCCAGAGCGTTCCGGAGCGCTCTCAGAGCGTTCCGGAACGCTCTGGAGCGGCCACGGCGCCCAATACATCCTCCAAACCCGCCGATTCTCAGAGATTTCGAGTTATCCCGATCCGATTTTGTCCCGATCTTCGCGTCGTTTTACGAGCGATCGCGGCCTTCCGCTCGCGCAGGACCGTTCGACGAGATCTGCCGCCTCCAGGCCCCGGGCGGCGTGCCCGCGGCAGGGCCCCCGCCGCGCCCGCGCAGCGCGGGCCCTGCCGCACTGCTGCTGCGGGCCCGGACCTCTCGGCCCGAGCCGGCCCTTCCTCCGAGCCCCTTCCTGGCGCCCCGACTCCAGATCCGCCCTACTTTGGCTTCTTTCCTCCTCCTCCTCCTCCTCCTCCTCCTCCTCCTCCTCCTCCTCCTCCTGCTGCTGCGTGTGCGGGGCGGCTGCTGGGCAGAGCGGGCCGACAGAGCCCTGACTCCAGATCCGCCCTACTTTGGCTTTTTTCCCCCAACTTAAAACTGTGTCGGAAGTCCACCTAGAGGAGGCCGAACACGTAGGGCGGACAGTTCTGCACCCAGCAGAAAGTAGGGCGGAGATCCACAGAAGCAGGGCGGAGAAACAGCAGCAGAAAAGCAGGGCGGAAATCGGCATCAGCGGGGCTCGAAAAGTGAGGCGGAAATTCCAAGCCCTACCTATACGAACTTCCCCAAAGTGGGGCGGATCCGGAGTCAGGGCGGCCCCGAGGCCCGAAACCGGCCCCCAGGGGGGCCCAGAAACGGGGCCATAGACCAGCCGCCTCGAGAATGCCCGAGGCGCCGCGTGCCCGAGGCGGCTGCCGCGCCTGCCGAGAGAGAGGGGGGCAGGGTCCGTCCTCGCTCGGCCCCGCAGGCGCACGTGTGGCGCGCCTTGTCTCTGCATGCTCACGCCAAGCGTAAGTCGGGCCTGTCCCCCTACAGGGGGATTTTCGACGAAAAATTATATATAAAAGAATAGTCCAAAAATAGTCTGGGGACTATTTTGGGGGTATTATTCTCTGACCTTTTTGGGGTACTTTTGGGGGATTTTTCATTTCTCGTCGAAAATATCCCCCTGTAGGGGGACACGCCCGACATAAGGCTATGCACAGGGAGGCCGCGAGGGCGCCAGCCTTCGCGGGCAGGGGCGCGCGCCCGCCTGGCTCGTCTCGGGTCTCTCTCCGGCAGCCGCGCGGGGCGAGCCGGGCACCTCTCTTGTAGGCCCTCGGCGAGGCTCGGCTGTCGGAGCGGCTCCCGGAGCCGACGAAGTGAGGAGGAGAAGACGCTGCGAGAAACCTCGAAACGTAATGCTTACCCTCCTAACTCGAAACGTAATGCTTACCCTCCTAACCCTCCTCCTATAACTCCTTACCCACCCAATGTAAGAACTTTCGGGGGTCCGCGCGGAACCTCGAAACGTAATGTCTACTCAGACTGTCTCTCCTCCTTAGTCTCGCTCGAGAAAAGGCACGAGGACCGTGCTCGGGCGTGCGTTGGCCCTGCTGAGCGCAAACCCGGCTCAGTCGATTTTCGGAAAGCTGCTCTGCAGCTTGTTGCGTGGCTCCCCA